TGTGCCCGACGCGAAAACGGATGTAATTGGATGGTTCGCGTATCGAAAATGAAGAGGAAAAACAACATATGAAAACTAACATTATACAACGGTCCTCACACATGTTGTGCTGGAGGTGTCAGCCAAGATCATCCCAACTTGGACTCTGAAGTGATATGCCAAGCCATCATGCCCATGGTAAAAATAAGCTCTCATATAGCTGTTGCAGTATTGATTTCAGCTATACAATCGCAGTATGGTACACCGTCTCCTATAAAAAACCTTGGTTGGCAAAACAAAATGCCATTGTCAAACTTCATGGCGAATGGGATGCATCTTACAACGAATTTCCAGGTTGGTTTAGACTGGTGCGGACGTTGAATCTTGGGACAATTGTGGACTTCAAAACCTCCTATGCATACCATAATGATCGAGTTCTTCGCGATCGATGTCAATTCTACCGTGTTTTTTGGAGTTACCCACAGTGCGTTAATGCTGCCAAATACTGCAAGCTTGTGGTCTAGATCGACGAGACTTTCTTGTATGGAAAATACAAGCAAGTTTTATTATTGGCAGTTGTCCAAGATGACAATCGCAACATTCTTCCAGCTGCTTTTGCTCTTGTCGAAGGAGAAGATACATATTCTTGGGTTTTTTTCCTCCGAAATTTACGTGCACATGTTATCACGAGGGAAAAAATCTGTGTCATTTCAGATCGCGGAATTGGGATCAAATCAGCAATGGAGTCTTTGGGTCCAATGTGGCAACCACCCTTTGTCCAACATAGGTATTGTCTCCGACACATTGCTGCGAACTATCATGGAAGGTACAAGAAGAATGATGAGCGTCAATTAATTGTGCGCATAGGTAAGTGAAAACAAGTTAGTAAGTTATACATTTGTTGATCATTTTAATTTTGCAAAGAAAATAAGTTAGTAAGTTGTACATTTTTTGATCTGGTTACGAACTACTTCCTCGAACGTTTGAATCAATGCTTCAAGATTTGCGGGCGAAGAACGAGGAAAGATACGATTACATCAGCCTTATCGATAAAGAAATGTGGATGAACGCATATGATGGTGGATATCGATATTGACACATGACGACCAACTTGGCTGAGGCAATCAATTCAACCTTAAAGGGTGTACGTCATTTACTTGTAGCGGCTTTGGTAAAAACTACATATTTTAGTTTGGGGGCATTTTTTGCGAAGCTCGGGGGACAAACTCAAACCTGGATGCAAGACGGTCATGTATATCACCCTAGATTACTTGCAGATCTACAAAAAAAATTGCTGCATCAAATGGAATGTCTGTAACAAGCTTCTCTATAAGGCATGAAATGTTTCGTGTCACAGAGTTGCCGCGACCTCTTCAAGGGATTGAAGCTGTGTCGTTAAGAGTAAATCTAAGGGACAGACCGTGCGACTGCGGGTTTTTTCAAGCTCTGAAGTATCCATGCTCTCATGTGATAGCAGCTTGCTCGCATACACGTCAAGACTATAACCATTTTGTGGATCCTGTATACCTACTATATGAAGTTTTTAAGGTATACGAATTTGAGTTTCCCCCCATAGGTAATGACAAAGACCCTAATGAGGTTCAAGATTGGCTTCTGATTGTACCAATTCTGAGTTTATTGAGGGAGCGTGGTCATCCAAAATCCAATCAAATTCATTGCGATATGGATATTCGAGAAAGATCTAGACAAGACAGAGGATGTGGCCATTGTAGAAACCCATGACACACTAGAAAAACATGTCCACTTCTGTTGTCATCAAGTAACAATTGATGAGGAAATGATGTATTTGCTTATCAAATAATAATTCTTGTATTTTAATTTGCATTTACTTCAAGTTAATGTCATTCGATAATCGCTGATGAAGATTAAAAAAACGAACACAATCATTAAATTTTATCAAACTAATAACAATTTGGTATTTAAATACAACAAACTTACAATAAGAATTAAATTTTAAATGATAACCAAATTACAATAACTGATATTAAATGGTAATAAACAAAATTAACTGAAATATATTAAAAAAAAGTCCAACAAATTTAATAAAATAAAGTAAGTATTAAATGATAAATAATAAAAAATTACAATTAAACAAAATAAAGTAAATACAAATGTAATAAAAAAAATCTATCGATGCATGCGTCGCAATGTGTTCTGCAGGGCGGTGGCTGTCGATCTCGAGGAGATTTCTTCGTATCACTGGTTCTGACTCCTCGCTGTCATCATCGTCGTCGTCGTCGTCGTCGTCGTCATCGTCACCATCGTCATCGTCGTCGTCGTCGTCCTGAGCAGGTACATTAGGTTGATGAGGAGCTGATGACGATGAAACACTTCCATAGAATAAGGACCCAGGAGGTGTATGATGCAAAAACTGGGAAAACCCAGACATCGTTGAGTGTGAAAACTGTACAAGAGGTGTTTGTGCTGCGGCCATGGGTGATGAGGCTGAACCCGCCAAATATCCAGTATATGAACCCCAAGTCGGATATACAAACATAGACCCATAATAGCCTCCAGGAGGGGTTATCTGTGACGGTGGCGATGGCGGGGTCATAAAACCAGGTGCAGGCGACAACGACATCTGGTAATGGAAAGGCGATGGCGGCATCATATATGGCTGCAGTGGCTGCTGGGAAGGTCCTGCTGATACAGCTGAGGATGAACCGGAAGCACCTGCTCTCCGTCCACGAGTCGAGGGACATGGTGCTGTGTCGGTGAACGTCTCTGTCGACGTCGTGGAAAGATCTGCCCTCGTGCATCATCGGGAAGTATAAACGGTTTCCCGTTACTGTTGAACAACTCATAATAATCCTCAGCATACATCAAGAGGTCATCAAAAATGGGCTCTCTACGGGGAAGGCGCCGATGTCGATCCTCCCACAACACGACCCACCAATGATGCCTCACCAGCCAATCTGTATCTGTCTTGCCGCGTCTATCTAAGCTATGCAACTCGTCCATATTGCGAGGTGCTTCCGGAATTAGTTGAAAACAACCAAACTGCCGGAGCACGCGATCAGTGGAGTGCCACTCGACGGTCGCATAACAGATCAGAGGGACCATCGCATCCAAACATCTGATGGACCCGTCAACTCAGGTGGGATCACCGCCTTCACATCATCAGTAAAATATGACACTCATTCAAACTAAAACAAATAATATATAATTTTTATCAAAATAATAATCTAATTATATAACTATAATCTAAAATCGATTTTAAACATTAAAATTTATACCTATGTGTCAGTCTTCTGATCGATTAGCACCCTAATTTTTTCTAAATCATTAGGTAGCTCCTGATGATTTTTCCTATCAGTAGACCACCTATTCAAGGAAAAAAATTTGTTATACGCTGTATAAAATTATTAATATACAAAATCAATTTTATAATTACCTCAGAAGTAGTGAAAATACGAATGGGTTCTTCACAACCGGACATAAAAAGGGAAATCGATACCATGCCTAAGACTGCAGCAGCAGGAGACATCCGCCGATAGAATTACGTCTGTAGTTAGTGGTTCCACACATCTCCTTGTACAGCAAAGCCAAAACTACCGAGCCCCAATTGAATGATCCGGTAAGACGAAAGTCGCTAAGATGTCGCAACCATATGCAGTGAACTAGGTTGCGCGATTTTTCCGGCATCAGCAACCCTCTTATCAGCTGCAGTATGCATGCCCGTGCATACATCTTAACCTCATCCTCAAAGGCGTCTGCGCTCAACTCCCGAAAATTGGCATCTAACCAATTTAACGGTGTCCTACCTCCGATAAAATTTTCCGGGACACGTCCTAGACCATCCCGACACAAAGTAGTCCAAGAACCGGAAGCTATCCCCCATATCACATCTCCATCCACCGGAAGCCCCAGGTGCATAGAAACATCCTCAAGCGTGATCGTGCACTCTCCGCACGGAAGATGGAATATGTGGGTCTCCGGCCTCCTCCGCTCTACTAAGGCAGAAATCAGGTCTGACTCTATCATACAGTGACCATGATATCTACCTATGTAACCAAATCCATCCTCTATTAAATATGACAAGACACAACTGAGTATTACTAACTTAAGATTCCAAATAAAAGGATCTAATATACGTTCCTTCTCCTAAAAATAAATAATTACAAAAATTAATTCTTAATCTAATAATCATGCATTAAATAAATCAACTAATTATTACTAATAATTTAAATTAAATTAAAACATTAAAACGTTACTGTATCAGCAAAGTGTCGATATATTTAATTCTTAATCTAATAATTATGCATTAAATAAATCAACTAAATATTACTAATAATTTAAATTAAATTAAAACGTTAAAATGTTACCGTATCAGCAAAGTGTAGAGATATATGATTTCCATCTGAGCGAAGTAGACTGTCTTCCATTATATATCTGCAAAAGAATTATATTAGTAAAATATTAAATAAAGTAAATACATAATAGTAAAAATATTATAAAATATACCTTAAAAAGATAGAGTATTTAAGAGAAATTTAGAGAATTTGAGAGAATTTTGTGTGATAAAAGTGATTGAGGATGGGGACGTATAGAGTTGGGTATTTAGGGGTATAGTGCGCCTCCTGCACCGCGTTATACCCCACGTGTCAGATACTCAGGTATAGCGCGGACAGGGGTTGCGCTATACTCACGTGGTGCTAGATCACCGTATATCGCAGGCAGGGGCGCGCTATACCCACGTGACGCCAAATCAGCGTATAACGTAATTCAGGAGGCGCATTTTACTGCTACGGGTATTAGATATAAAAATATTATCTGACCGGTGTTAGATCTATAAATATATCCATCACTGATGATTTATTGGGAAAAGTGCCCAACCAGCATCAGCCTACAAGACCGCCCAATTTTCATTTTGAAAATTTTGCCAAAATTCTCTTCTCTCCCGCACGCCAAACCTTTCTCCCCCCCCCAGGATTCACCATTATTTGTTTGGAGCAAAGCTTCCATGCTAACCCGTTCTCCGATCTCTTTTCTTTCATAGTTGAAATCCATAAGCAATGCCATATTCAAGAGATAGACTCATGAGAGCAGTTGATATAGCTCAAGTCTTCTCTCGAACGCGATCTGGGACTTTGGGCATCATCTCAGATGAATCACGGGAGCTGCTAGTCTCTCCTCTTCGACAACGTAGTCCAATGGGTATCGGTGGAGGGCGCCGCAGGAACAGCAGTTTTGGCACCCCGGGATCCGGTATTAGACAGGGAGGGAGTCTTTACCAATCTCTGGCCATGGGAAGAGAGAATACTCCGCTCACAGGCCGTGCAAGGGGTCGAGGGACGGGCAGTGTGTTACCGTCTTGGTACCCAAGAGCTCCTCTCAATGATATTACAGCTGTTCTGAGGGTAATGCTCGCTTTTACTTATCGATTTCTTAGCTAGTTTTATGATCGCTTTAAGAGTAACTCTTTGTTTGGCTTGTTTAGCTGCTCTAGTTAGTTTGATGAGAGAGTCTTGAAATAATGACTATTCCACTGCTGATGACATCCGGATTTTATGTTAGGCAATAAACAATGAATTAACAGAAGATTTTGCATAATATATAAGAGAATAAGCTGGCAGGAGGAAAGTTTGATCTTGGATCTTCCTCTTTGATTTTTCCATCTTTTCTAAGGAGGAATAAAAATGAATTCTCTGTTTTCGTCGACAGAACATTTGTTCTATCAATGATCATGAACGACTTATTTAACTCTTTTTTGTTTCTCTTTTTATTAAAATCATCGTCTACCATATGGTAATATTAGTAACCGACCCAAGATCTTATGTTGGGACGAACATTTAGGAATGATGGATTTAAAAAAATTTAAAGACGAAAACAAATTATCAATAGAAATATAAAATATCTCAAATTTATAGAAATTTAAAATTTTAGGAACGATTTCCCACCCACTTTCTATCCCTGGATACCTATTCTAGTAATACTCATTCAAACTTGTAAAACTTTCTAATGACAAATGGGGGTTTTTCATAGACTTGTTTCAGTATGGTAATTGACTTTGATGAGGATTGAATCAGGCCATTGAAAGGAGGAGAGCTCGTACAGGAGGAAGAGAAGGCATACCAATTGAGACCCCAATAATAGTTGAGGATGAAGTGGATGTTAATTCAAATGTACCATCAGGTGTTCAACTGGAACACAATTTCTCAACTCCAGCTTCAACTGCCAGATTGAAGAAGCCTTGCCCTCCATCAGTCCATAATGTATCAAATATTTTGCTTAGTGTCACTAACATGGATGCTGAGGAATCAGAGCTTCTTACACCTCAAAAGAAACTCTTGAACTCTATTGACACTGTAGGGAAAGCTTTAATGGAGGAACTACAGAAATTGAAGAGGACCCCCAGTGCCAAGAAAGCAGAAAGGCAAAAGAAAGTCCGCACACTGATGTCAATCCGCTGATCTCTACTGCATTATGACTTTCTTAAGGATTGGAAAGAGTCAGAATCAGTGAGAATAACTGCAAGGCTAGAGATTTGCAAACCACCCTGCAGTGGACTTGAGGCTGGCTGTCTAAGCATCCTCTGATGATATGTTCACACTCTTCAAACTTAGTCTATTACGAGATAGACTAGATGATTCAATCTTTCATTTTCTTTAATGGGCTGCCTTTGCTAAATTAGTCTACTCAGTTGTAAGCTTCATTATTTTAAAGTTAATTAGGAGTTTTATACGGCATTCTTCACATGTAACTACTATATTATCAAGAGATAGTTTCCACAATCCTTATTGAAGGTCATGGTGCATGACTGATAAATAATCTTGTGTCTTTTCTCCATTCTTTGAAGGGGCCTGTGTAGGAATGGGAGGATTTTGTTTCGATCCATGTAGATACATAACTTGTTTGGAATTGCTTCTCATTTTTTCTTGGCTCCATATTCATAATTGTCAACTAAGTTATTGGTGTAGTAGTAAAAGATTTATGTTGTTATCAAGTATATATATGGTCCTCGATTATAGGGTATTGTTTTATTGAGTCTCTTAATTATTACAAGTTATAAAATGATCCCTTAGTTATAAAACATTGTTTTATTAAGTCTACAACTATTAAAAGTTACAATATGACCACCTAACTATTTATATGTTCTAAACTTGTTCTTTTTTATTAAAAAGTTAACGGCAGTTTGAGCTAGGTGTTAACTTTTGATTGTGATATGATAAAATATAATCTCAAAATCTCAAGCAGTTATCATATCTCACGGTTAAACAAATCTTATTGTGATATCAAAGTGACCTAATCACTATGATAAGGAATTATCAATCATAAATTAAATATCATAAAATATTATTTTAATATTTATTATATTTATATGTTAATAATATTATATAATTTGAAATATAATTTCATCGTAATATATTGTTATTATTATTTATTTATTCAAAAATTAAATAAAATATAATATTTTCCATTTAATCATAAAATAAAAATATTCTTAAAATAAATCTTATTAAAATAATAAAGTATTCTGAAATAAAATAATAAATCTTGTTACATCAGATTCTGAAATATTCTTCTTTGGGATTGTTATATATATATATATATTTGAGTTTAAAATATTAAGAGATAATAATAAAAAATTAACTATTGAGATTGTTTGATGACTTTAAAAGAAATAAGATAATACATATAATAAAAAAATTAAAAAAAACGACAAGACAAAATAAATGTAAATTAGGTTCTCGTACTGCAAATTTACTCACACATAATAGAAACGAAACGATAAATGCTACAGATAATAAAAGTCAATGTAGAAGAAAGAAAGTTGTGGGATCATTATGAAAGGATAAGCTCAGGGGTCAAAAGTATAATTAATCCCAAAACCTAACTTAGTGTCTACACCTTTACTTGCAGCTATCAAGCGGAGCACCGCACAAGCACCGGTTGTGAAAAAACGTCGAGTAGTCGAAACTCTGCAACCGTCCTCCCACCGGTATCTTCCCGCACAGCCTATTGTAACTCACATTCATAAACTGCAAATCCAGCTCCGTCAACCGTGCCGGAATACTTCCCGTTATCTTGTTATGATTCAGATCCAGCCTTGCCAAGCTCTTGGGAAACTGCAATTTGGACAGGTCGAATTGGAACATATTCCTCGAAAGATCGATATCGAACGTCGTTTTGTTCTTTCCAAACAACACAGAAGGATCACCTTCTAGCATGTTCCTTGACAAGTCAATGGTATTGAAGTCCATGTTGGCTAAAGATGCAGGGATTGTACCAGAAAGTTTATTGTGAGACAAGAAGAACAAATAAAGGCTCCTGCTGGGAAACCTACCAAAAGATTCTGGTATTGAACCAGTTAGCTTGTTTCTGTCCAAACGTAAAGCCTCGAGATTTGGGAGTGTGGAAAGGGAGCTTGGGATGGAACCCGTGAGGTTATTAAATGAAAGGTTCAGGTAAGTTAAGTTCTTGAGTTGGGTAATAAACTCTGGGACTGGACCAGACAGGTTGGTCCAGCTCAACCAAAGGGTCTTGAGGTTCTTCAGCTTGGCAATGGCGGGTGGTATGGTTCCGTTGAGGTTAGGAAGGTGTCTGAAAAGAAGGGTTTCGAGGTACGGTAGGTCGCCGACTTCGGCCGGGATTTTTCCGGTGAGTTCGTTGTCGGTAAACAGGGTGAGGGAAATGACACGGTGGGTGTCGGGATGGCATTCAAGGCAGTACCAATCACAACAAGCGGTTTTGGGGTCCCATGAGGCTAACAGATAAGGGTTGCCCAAGGCCTTTTTGATCTTGAGGAGGACCTTCTTGTCTTGGGGGTTGCACCGCCCTGACAGAGCCGGTGAAATGAAGGTGGAGATGAAGAGGAAACAGAGGAGAACTGGTAAGATTTTCATTTTCTGGGGGCTGTTTGCTTGATGATTGTGCTCAAAGTTGTCTGATTTATAGGGTGAGTTACGGTTACAGAAAATTAATATCTAGGGTAAAACTAATCATTTAATATCCAAAATATCACTTTGTTATATTTTGATCATATAACTATTTTTTAAAAACCCATAGTTAACATCGTGTTTTGATTTCATTTCGATTATTAACTGTTAAAAAATTAGTAAAACTATTTATATGACATTTTTTAACGGTTGATAATTAAAATAAACTTAAAACACAACATTTGATATGATTTTGAAATGAAAAATAATTCAATGATAAAAATAAATTAAAAATGATAATTAAAGTACTACATATATAATTTACCCTAATATCTATGTTCTGGATTAAACAATTTGAATTATATGGTCTAAAGTGATTGATTAGACGCCTACATGTGTCAAACAATGATTTTTAAAAAAACCGTTATGAACTATGCATGTAAAACGGTAATGGTAGAGACTTATATTGATTGAAAACGTTTAGAGAAGAAATAATTTGAATATTTTTTATATTAAACTTTTATATTATAACATTAATTAACTTAATTAATTTAAAGTAAAATTGTTTATTTAAAAAATATAAAAGTATTATTCTGTACCCACTGACACAGAAGTTTTCCACCGCTCAATGGAGTTTGAAAACCTTGGTCCCATTCAAATTTAGCCACATTATCTATTACTATTATTACTTTTGGGATAATATTATTCTTGTTTTTATTACAATTATTAATTGATATTAAATTAAAATTCACACAATTTTATTTATTTGAACTTCAAAATTTTAAACCTAAATTTTTAACTTTGAAATCTTAAATTTTAGAATCTAAACTCGAACTTTTTGAACATAAATTCTAAATTTATTTTAAAATTTAAATCATAGATGTAGAATTTTTATCTTAAACTTAAACTTTTTAATCTTCAATTTTTTTTAAATAATATGATACGATAATAAGGTGATATATGCTAAGAATCTTTCTTATTTTTTAATAGTGTATACACCTTACAAACATAACTATTTGAATATGAATTCTTTAGATAATAACACTCAGTTTTAATATGGAGACCACTCAATAAATTATTTCTATTAATAATTTGGATTAATTACAAGATAATTTTGTTAATGACTTTCTTAATATATTGACAACATACACACCCGACAAACGCCGTTACTCAATCTCAGGACTTCTAAAAATATCAACATTCTTTTTTATTACCGATGCCGCTTAATAGATTCACTATTTAAAAAATTCTTAAACCTTAAATTCTAAATCAACACATATCATTAAACTAAATAAACTTATATAAATTAAAACTTACCCAACCTATTCATTAAAAAAAATTCTTATTATTAATTACAACTGCAGTTAACACCAATTAGAATTTGAAAAAGAATTTTCACGGCATATAACATATAAAAAATAACAGGGTAGATTACTTTTATTTTGTTTTGCTCATCCATTTATTTATTTTAATTATGTCTAGTGTTTAGTTTTGTTTTTATTTTGGTCATCCGCCGTTCAAAATTAACAGTGATACTAGCGTGTTACCATAAGATATGTCACATCATAATTGAAAAAAATTAAAAAAATCACGTCAGTAGTTCTGTTAAATTTTTTACAGTGAGGGACCAACATAAAATCAAAATATAATGTTAAATATTATTTTGAAAAAAAAACAGTTGAATGACCAATAAAGAACAAAAATGATAGTTGTGATACTAAACGTATAATTTTCCCAATAATATTCTATTAACCGTAGTGAAAAATTATACTACTGTTAGAGAAATTAATAGAAATAAAAGTAAAAAATGGTATATATTTATGAAAGTAATAAACATAAAATTAAGTGGAGGCTCGAGTTTGAAGATGCATGAATCACATGGACCAAAAACCAAGTGGGCAGGCGCTTTACAAATGTGGGAAACAGACGAAGATAGTGAAGAAAACGTGGTTGCTTAAATAATTGTTGCTCGTCGACAGCTGGATTCACTAATTGAGCCGCTCCTAAAGTCGCTTTCATACAGAAATCTCTGTCCTCATCTCTATCCGTATCATGTACGTAGCCCATGTGTAACTTCGTATGGAATCAAATCAAATTGAATACCAATATTAAATAATTTTTTATATTTATTCGATAATATTTTTAAACTATTTTTAACAAATATTTAAAAAGTTTAAATTATTGGTTCCAGTGAAAGAGGTATAATAAAAGTTTAACTTTTTTCTTCGTAAAATCAGATCAAGTTAAATCTAATACAATAATCTATTATATAAGTATTTGAGAATTTGATACCACAGTTTGTTTTTGTAGTTAACGTAAATCTTACAATTTCTCCTGAATTGTTTTGCATTACTCAAATTTCTTTTGCGTAAGATGTGCTTTTAATTAAAAGATCTTCTTTGTTATTCTTAAAATATTAATAATGAATATAATTATTTTTCAAGTAAAAAAAATTATAAACAATTACTTGAATTATTTTTCAAGAAATTCAACATCTCCTCTTTCTAATGTGTGGTTTTTGTAAGAATTGACGTGTAAACTACGAAACTAAAAATGTCAGATAAAGAAATACAGTATAAAATTAATTAAAAATATTGATCTAATCAGAAACATAAATATACTAACTCAAGAATTAAGCACGCCACATATGGTACTTTTTCAA